CTGGACAGAAGGTCGATAGGAGCTGGGTACCCCTGGATATATAGGTCTGTAGCCTGGAGAGATGTAGACCTTCTGGGCCTAGGCTAGAGTTGCCACCTCATTCCTTTAATTTTGAACACATATTATTTATACAGGTTCAATGACTGATTAAGGTGGTAATTAAACTCACTTAGTGCCTTTTCTGCAATAAATTAACCTGTGTAATTAATTTGTTCGGTTTTAAAGGGATGAGGTGGCAACCCAAGCCTAGGCCCAGGGAAAGACTCATGTGAGGACCCACTGTTGGGAAGATTGCCGGACTTTAGAAGTTTGTGTTGGTGGCACTGAAGTGTTCTGCAGTGAAGATGTGAAGCTGTTGTGCCAAGTTAGGCTTATGTCGTTCTTCAGAAAATTGTTTAAAAATCTTCCTGCTTGGACATTCTTTATTCAACAAGGTGGGCTTTCAGACCAGGAATTGTGAGTATTGTGGGAGGACTGGGCCTTAGGCCTAGATAAAGTGTGATACAATATGGCAGAGTTTCTCCTAAAGTCAGGTCATTTCCAATGAAGATGTGGGGCATGGACCCTGACCAACTTGGCAGGAATTGGCAGGTAAGCCAGCTTGACAACAGATGCTTCAATGATCACTTAGCATTCATTGAGAGGTGAAGTTGACTTTCTTCAGACATGCATGTGATCTCCTTCCAAGCTTCAAGCTGCTTTTGCATTCTCATTGACATGAAGAAGTTCTTAACCTCTGGCGCATATATGCAGACTCTCGACTGGTGGTCTTTAACGCATTCATGGGGCCCAAAATAAATAACTCTGTGCTGAGAGTGAACAGAAAGCTTCCAACGCATACTAGTGATCAGGAGCATGTGAGCATGTGATCGCTGTGACAGCCAATCACAGCAGTCACATGACCCAAATGCCGGCCTCTCGGCATTTAAAAGCCCTTAAAGGACACGGGAGGCATCGGTGGGAGGGGATTAAGCAAATAAAAGCCCATCAGCACAGTGCCGGTTCACACTGATGCAAATTCTATGTGGATCAAAAGCAATCTGAAAAACATAGATTCATATGTAATGTAAAAAAAGCATTATTGCCAATGAAAGCTGTTCACATATATGCGGTGTGAATTTGATCTGGTTGAAAAAAAGGGTCCTGTGCGAGTTTAGTGCTATGCCCATTGTCCTCAGAAATCACATTAAATTCACACCTGTCACATCAGAAATTGCACTGTTAAAATGCACTGTGAAATTGCAACAGATTCATTCGCAGCGCATCGGTGTGAACCGTCACTTACCCACCCACTGCCGTCTGACAATGTCAGTTATCAGCCCTAAGCTCAGACAGGAGACAATGAGGGAGATTTACTAAAACTGGAGTACTCACAATCTGGTGCAGCTCTGCATTGTAGTCAATCAGCTTCTAACTTCAGCTTGTTCAATTAAAGCTTTGGCAATAAAACCTGGATGCTAATTGGTTTCTCTGCAGTTGCCCCAGATTTTGAACTCTCCAGTGTTAGTAAATAATCTCCAATGGCCCTTTACAGCCTCACATTAGACTGAAATTTCCCAACTGACAGGGAGAGAATACAACTAAATAACAGCACACACATCCCTCCCTGATAGTAAGTTGCATTATTATAATAATTTAGCATGTAGAGACTTAGATTCCTATGAATGGCCATTTCTGGCTGGCTTTTTTTTTAAACAACACACAAAAAAAAAAGTTGGGGTAAACGATGGGAAAGTCAAACAATCACTATAATGACAAAGTAATTGTATGTAAGACTGAAAAGCTGAGGTTCCTGATGCTGATAACTTGTTCTGTTTATTTCTCTGCAGCTGTCAATGGCTATATGTATGGGAACCTGCCTGGCCTTGTCATGTGTCAGAGGGATAATGTGTCATGGCATCTGCTTGGACTGGGCACAGAGGTAGACATACATGGCGTCCACTTCCAGGGGAACATACTCAACTATGCCGGAACAAAGAGGGAGATCTTCAATGTGTTCCCACACTCAACGCTCACTGTGACAATGCAAGCCCATAACTTAGGTGATTCATGTCAATTATTTGTTGTGTAAGATGCAAAACTATTTTTATGCAGTGTAAAGTTTTCTCTATAAAAGACCATTGCAAATGTAGCACCCAGTGAAGTAGCTAGGGGAAACTAGAGTTCTAATTCTTAGATAGAAGGGCTGGGTAGCAGCCCAGGTATAATAGTCAGGGGGTCCATTTCGGTCAGGGCTATGAGGCTCTGCAGACCAGCTTTCTGAGACGTCTGCTGCACTAGAACTTTGGAGAAAGTTCTAGAAGCAGTGGGCAGAGGTAAGGAATGGCTGGTCTGCACTCTCAGTGGATCCTGGCCAATCCCCTACAGGAGGCTTGGCACTGGGGCCAGGACAGCCCTTAAAAGTTTTTGAAGCTGCTCAGTAGTAGGAGAGTTAGGGTGGAAGATGGAGTAGAAAAGTTGAGGTGCAGCAGCCTGGAGGGGCCCCAGTTGGGAAGAGGCCTACCTTCGGGCAGTGTTGCTGGAAAGGAGGTTCGCTCAGAACTCATCGTTCCCCAGAGTGAGGACCACTTGTGCAGCAGGGAAGAAGCCAGCCTAGTGGAAGGCCTGAAAGCAGCCACCAGCTCATAGAAAAAGGGCCGAGTGAGTAATCCTACACCCCCTGGGCCAGTTAAGGGGCAAAAGAGCACTCTGGTGGGAAACCTGATTAGCTCTTTACCCAGGACTGTCATCTTAAAGTGGCAGGCGCTGGAACCCCTTGCCCATGGATTCACTTAGGCAGCTGGATAAGAGGAGGATTATCTGGGGTGGTACACCAGGAGAGGCTGGAGAGCTCTTCAAGAAGAATTTTTGCTGAATAGAGACTTGTATATAGTTCCAGGAAGTTTCCTCAGTTGGCAGTTCCCTTGGGCAACTTTTATTAAGTTGAATTCCCTTAATAAAACAAAAAAAAAACAAAACAAGCTCAATGACTGTTTCCTGTCTTTGGAATGCAAGTCTATGTAAAATGCATGTTGCCTGGCTGCGCAGGACTATAGGGGGACCCAAATCTTCAGCAACTCCTAAGGGGATAGTGCTACATAAAACATGGAGACATCTCTAGTACAGGAATCAGCAGTGTGGTGATGATCAGTTATAGTATACAAAGCAGGCAGGAGGAGGGGAGTATTCAGAGTCGCACACCCTAAAAAGTTCTATCACCATTCTTTTGGTGCTCCGCACTGCAGGTTTGGGTGTATCATAGAAGAAAGTACATTACTTTACAAATGTTGGACAAGTAAAACTTATATGAGGGTTCTTCAAAAAGTTTTTGTACTTTTTAAAAACTACTATATATATATATATATATATATATATATATATATATATAAAAAAGTGCGGAAACATTTTGAAGACCCCCTCCTATGTATTTTATATGTGTATTTAGTTTTCTGGCTGCAGCTGTTCCTTAAAGCCCAATAAAATTTATGTTTAAAATCAGCTGACTAAACTCTGTGTCTAAGAAAAGTTTCAGGGCTCATTCACACGACCTTTGGTCTCTGAAGATCGATCCGCATTCAGATTGCTCTTCCGAGAGCAATTGATTGGCAGTGAGGAAGTGTTGTATTGCCTTGGTCGCTGAACTAGCATGCCACAGCCATGTACATTGCATAATGGCCCATTGAGTTCTTGCATAATGGCCCTATTCACCTGAATGGGTTGCATTCAGTGGGCGTCTTGCCTGATACAAGCAACAGAGAGTAAAATTCCATTGCAGCTGAGGCATGTGTACACCCCCTCTGTAAGCACTAGAAAAAAAGTCCGGTCTCCAGATTGTCTGCGCTGTCTGGCAGTGCTGTGTAAATTTCAGGATTGGATGGACAGAAATACAAACTCTTTTATTTATGTATTTATACTATGCATTTAACTGTTTGCCTGGAGTTATTTTAATATGTTTTATAAAAGGTATGTTAATCCCAATAGTGCTATAGTGTCATTATCAAATATGGCCCCTTGCATAGTTATCCTATATGGGTCAACAATCTTTCCCCATTGAGGTCAATGTGTCTGGTATAATCCGTCTTCTGTGTCCCTCTTCTAGGGGAGTTTGAACTGAGCTGTCATTTGATGGATCATCATAGGGACGGTATGAAAAATAAATATATGGTGCAGGTATGTGACAATTCCACAAGCCAAGATGATGTCCAGTATGGCACCATGAGGACGTACTTCATTGCTGCGGAAGAGGTAGAAATGGGACTATAGCCCGGACAGATCCTGGGAACTGAAAAACACAACATCACTGCACATATGCATGAGAGGTATGAGATGCAGAGGGCATTATATGTGATAGATAGAAGTTACTGTATTTTTCACTCCATAAGACGCACTTGATCATAAAATGCACCTAGATTTTAGAGAAGGAAAACAAAAAAAAAAATATATGTGAACCAATGGACTGCAGACATAGTACAGGAGATGACCAGAGACTGCAGACATAGTACAGGAGATGACCAGAGACTGCGGACACAGTACAGGAGATGCCAGAGACTGCGGACACAGTACAGGAGATGGCCAGAGACTGCGGACATAGTACAGGAGATGACCAGAGACTGCGGATATACTACGGGAGATGACCAGAGATTGTGGACATAGTACAGGAGATGAGCAGAGACTGCTGACAGAGTACAGGAGATGACCAGAGACTGCAGACATGGTACAGGAGATGACCAGAGACTGCGGACATAGTACAGGAGATGACCAGAGACTGCGGACACGGTACAGGAGAACAGAGACTGCACACAGTACAGAGAGCAGACACAGTACAGGAGACAGTACATGGGATGACTGACGGACACAGTACAGGAGATGAACAGAGACTGCGGACATAGTACAGGAGATGACCAGAGACTGCGGACACACAGTACAGGAGATACCAGAGAGACACAGTGATGACCAGAGACTGCGTACACAGTACATGGGATGACCAGAGACTGCGTACACAGTACATGGGATGACCAGAGACTGCGGACACCGTACAGGAGATGAACAGAGACTGCAGACACAGTACAGGAGATGACAGAGACTGCAGACATAGTACAGGAGATGACCAGAGACTGCAGGACACAGTACAGGATGACCAGAGACTGCGTACACAGTACATGGGACCAGAGACTGCGGACACAGTACAGGAGATGACCAGACACTGCAGACATAGTACAGGAGATGACCAGAGACTGCGGACACAGTACAGTGCAGACATAGTACAGGAGATGACCAGAGACTGCGGACACAGTACAGGAGATGACCAGACACTGCAGACATAGTACAGGAGATGACCAGAGACTGCGGACATAGTACAGAGATGACCAGAGACTACGGACACAGTACAGGAGATGACCAGAGACTGTGGACACAGTACAGGAGATGACCAGAGACTGCAGACCTTTGATGAGCACAGGGGGGGACAGGTACCCGAATTTGACAGGTACCAGAATTTGACAGGTACCCGCTCCCACTTCTGTGGAGCTGTCCTCCCCGTAGTCTTGTGGGACACATGACAAGTACCAGAAGACTACAGGTGGCCATTCACAAAGCGCAGCGCTTCTCGCGCATGTGCAGTGGGCACCCGGCTGTGAAGCCGCAAGCTGTCACAGCCGGGTACCCACACTGAGGATGCCGGCACCGGGGAGAGAAGACTGCCGGTGAAAGCAGGACACCGCTGGACCAAAGGAATAGGTAGGACTGAGGAGCAGGTTCTTCTGCATAGTACAGCTGAGCGGCCCAGCCTGGTATTCTAACATGGCAGTGGCGGGAATACCTGGCCGGCTGCTCCATATTTGCTCCATAAGCCACACAGACATTTTCCCCCATTCCCCTGTTGCCCCGCAGTCTCTGATCATCCCCTGTACTGTGTACGCAGTCTCTGGTCAACACACTGCTATTATTTTGAACACAACTGTATGTGTAGCACCCTCCTAGATAGCTCTCTGGGACTTCCCCCTGCTCTAGAGTTTTGGAGAAAATTCTAGAAGCAGTGGGAGGGAGTGAGGAGTGGCTCTGCACTCTTGAGGGATCCTGACCAATCCCCAACAGGAGGCTTGGCATGGGGTCAGGACAGCTGTTAAAAGTAACAAAGTCTGCTGAGAAGCAGGAAAGTTCGGGTGGAAGATGGAGAAGTGAGAGGCTAGAGAGCAGGAGCCTGGGAGGGGGCCCAGATGGGAAGGGGCACACCTACAAGCAAAGGAGCTAGAACGTAGGAAAGCTCAAGACCTCATTGGCCTCCATGAGCGAGGACCACCTATGCAGCAGGGACGGAGCAGCCCAGCAGAAAGCCTGAGAGCAGCAACAGACCCAGCAGCAGCATAGGAGGAGCACTGAGTGAGTAGACTTGCACCCCCTGGGCCAGTAAGGGGAAGGAGAACTCTGGTTGGAAACTGGATTAGTGGCTACCTGGGACTCTCTTACCCTTAAAGTGACAGACACTGGATCCCCTGCCCAGGGATTCACCCAGAACAGCTGAATAGAGGAGTATCTAGGGTCTGGGGCGGTATAACAGGAGATGATGGCTAGCTCCCCAGTAGAGACCTTTTTGCTGTAAAGATTTGTGTATAGTTCCAGGAAGGAAGGTTCCAATTCCCTTGGGCATCCCATACACCCCTTACCCCATCCAAGTTAAAATTCCCCTAATAAAATCCAAAAACAAGCTCAAGGACTGGTTACCGTCTTCTGGATGCAAGTCTGAATGGAAAAGGAGTGTTGCCTGGCAGTGCAGGACTATAGGGGGACCCAAAGCTTCAGCGACTCCTAAGGGGTAGTGCTACATATGTATTTAGCTTTTTGATTGGGGTTCAGCTTTAATTTTCATGTAGTAAGGTAAAGCCATCCAGCTTCTGAAATAACAGCAAATAGGAACACTGTGTTTAGTACTGAACACAGGATGCAGAGAAGATGAAGGCATTAGCACCATCAGAGCCCAGATAAGTCCTTGTGGCCTCCACATGTACTCATGTCATATTACAAGATACTTGGAATCAGCATTTAGCATAGTGTGGTTTCTCATTTAGGCTCATGTCACGCTAGCGGTCCTGTGGCTGGTAGCAGGCACATTATACCAAAGGCAGCCCGTATCTGATAATTTTTTTTTTTCATTCAACCAGCAGGTTGTAAACAGCAATGATTGTGAGCAAATTACAAAGGTTCATATGATCTAATCAGATTAGCTGTCAGCTGTTGGTTTCTATGACTTGCACCAGGGTATAGCACTTCTAGCTGCCTTATTGAATAAATCTTTAAATGTCTTTGTGCAGCCCTGGAAAGATTTTTGTGAGCTCTGATGAAGACCTCATAGGATCAAAATACAAGAAAGTGGTTTACAGGGAATACACAGACGGACAGTTCACAGAGCAGAAAGTGAGAAGTGAGGAGGAGAAGCATCTGGAAATACTAGGTAAGATGTCGGTTGGTGGTGGTCATTCAGTAAGGTGGTGGCAGCAAATGTGGAATGTGCACATATGGCAACCAATCATATAATATGAGGTGCTTACAGTGCAGCCCCTCAGGTACAGCTTCCTGTCCAGCAAGGAGAGCAGTGAGCAGGACAGGAATGACATAATCAAATTTCACTCCAAATCTTGTGATTTGAACTGCCAGAAGCAGCAGTGCCATTGATCTCACACTGCAAATTTACAGGGGACTATAGGTACGGAAGTGCCTAGGTACACTGAAATGCCACTGCTATGTTTCAAGATGAGTTCCAGAAAATATATATACTGCTTAAGCACAATTGAAATTTCTAGATGGTCCCTAGAAAACTCTTATGCTATGATCTTAAACTCAAAATAAGCTCCATTGTTGTGATGTAATGGGAACATCCCCTGATTTGTAGTGTGCAATCTATGCTGCTGATTGGCACAATGAAGGGGGGTCCCAGACATATACTGTATATTGTAAGTATTTTATTTAGTTATTAAAAGTATTTATATAACACTTACAATTTGCACACCACTTTACATAAATGTTTACAGTATCTACTGTACATTCACATCAGTATCTGTCCTCAAGGAGCTCTCAATCTCCCTATCTGACATGTATGAGGTGTGATAATTTGATTCCTGGGAATGGACTATAAAAAAAATAATGTTTGCTTACCTATACACTAGTAGTTGTCACCTTCAAAGTAGTCCCCTTGTGATATGACACACTTTTCTAGATGACTGTGCCACTGCCGGAAACATTTCTAGAATGTTTATTGGAGCACTGCACAGTATATTTGGGACAAAATCTGGAATGTCATCAAATTTGTGTCCTTTTAAGGCATTGTTTAATTTTGGAAACAGCCAAAAGTTGCGGGATGCTAAGTCAATGGAATAAGGTAGTTGCTCAAGTTTCGGAATGGATTTCTGGGCCAGGAACTCTCGAACGCTTAACACATCATGTGCAGGAGCATTGTCGCAGTGGAGAATCCACTTCTCAGGCCAGAGTTCAGGTCTTTTCATCTGAACAGATTCCCATATCCTTTTCACAATTTCCAAGTAACAATTTTGGTTGACCATTGTACCATATTCTGACATGCTTGCTTTCTTTTGACGAGGTGAATTCTTTGTTTTCCACTGCATGCTCTGATATTTTGTTTCCCAGATCATACTAGAAACACCATGTCTCATCACCGGTAATAACCCTATCAAACACCTCTACATTCTTCAAAGGATTGGATGAAATTTGAAGATGACATTCTTTCTGATCGTCTGTCAAGATTCATGGCACCATCTTGGTGGAAATCTCTCTCATTCACAAAATCCTGTTAGAATCTGCATCACTGTTTCCCTGTTCATATTCAATTCTTCTGCCATCATTCACACATTTATTCTGCAATCTGAGCGCACGAGGATTCGCACTCCATCCTTTACATTTTTCTCTGCCCACCTCTTGCGTTGTCCAGGACATCTTCCTGCCCCTCCTTATACAGCCTATGCCATTGAAAAACCCTTGATTTCTTCATGGAATGTTCGCTATAAGCCGGTTGTAACAGAGTTTCTCGCACTTTTGCCAATTTTCAATTTGATGTTTATCCGATGCTGCAGATTCCTGTCACTCATTTTCTGCCAACAGCGCAATGCACGCACATGTTATTTCTACTTCTAATCCGTAAAGAGTCAACTGGTCTGCGATGTAGAAAAGTGTAAATTAGAACACGTCAGAACATGCTCGTGTGTGAATGGCTTTGCGACTCATCACCATAATGTTATGCCGCATGCATTCCAGAAATTAAATTGTCACACCTTGTATATATATATATATATATATATTTTTTTTTTTTTTTTTTTGTACATTCACATCAGTGTCTGCCCTCAAGGAACTTAAAGTGGTCCTAAACCTAAAGGCTTGAGGTTTTCGTACCTTCATGTATTCTATGCATGAAGGTAAAATATTTCTGTGTGCAGATGCCCCTCCAGCCCCCCCCCCCCCCCCAATCCTTACCTGAGCCCCCTCTGATCCAGCGATGTTCACAATAGCCTGGGCTCTATGGATACCCTCCCTCCTCATTGGCCGAAACAGCAGCGGGAGCCCATTGGCAATGGCAGCCAGTGAGTCGATGAGAAGAGAGCGAGGGGGGTTGCGAGCCTTATGGATGTATAAAGTAGTGGCTCGGGAGTGAGCACTAACCTGTGCCCCCAGGGCTAGCAGCTTGCCTTGGGGGCACTGTTTGAGGGGGAGGAGCCAGAGCACCGTCAAGGGACCCGAAAAGAAGAGGATCGGGCAGCTGTGTGCAAAATCACTACACAGAGCAGGTAAGTATAGACATGTTTGTTATTATTATTTTTTTTTTAAACTAAGCTTTAGTATCACTTTAAAGTCACTATCTCACATGTACACATACACAAACCAGAGCCTATTTAGACAGGAGCCAATTAACCCACCAGCATGTCCTTGGAGTGTGGGAAGAAACCAAAGTACTTGGAGGAAACCCACACAGGCACTGGGAGCACATGCAAACTCCATGCACGTAGTGTTGTGGTTGGGATTCGAACCAACAACACTAGTGCTGCCAGATCCTGGTCTGTATGTCACTTGAAGGAAAAGTAAGTGAACATGTTATTTTTATAATAAGAAATTTCACTGAACTACCCCAAGATACAGTTTAATAGATCTGATTGCCTTTTGTGATTTAAAGACCAATGGTTTAAGGAAGTAACCTCTTGAGAATGACCATTATGTCTTGTTCTGTATATAATTCAGGTCCATTCATTCGGGCGGAGGTTGGAGACAGTATATTGATTGTATTTAAAAACAAAGCCACCCATCCACATTCCATTTACGGACATGGCGTTCAGATAGTCAATATTCTCGTTGAACCAACTCAGCCAGGTGAGTAAATAAGTAATTACAGAGGACCTCATTTTCTGTTGTCTGTTACCTCGTCAGATCATGTTCAAATCTGCAGTCGAAACCTGCTGCTCATACTGATAAATAGGTCTCCATGTAATATTCAGTAGAATAAGGTTTTAGATTTTTATAATATACTGTCCAGATGGAAAAGCTACAGCAAATAAAAGAACAATCTGCTCCAGCGTTGTGATGGACCTACCTCGAGGCTACAAGAACCAAATCATTGTATAGAGACCATTCAGTCTGCACATAGCTCACCCAGCAAGGCATGTATACTTACCTGTTCATGACCCCTCACCGCCTCCCCGCACTTTCGGCACCCCCATCCTCCAGCTTCCAGGTTTTGGGGTGCACATGACCTCCATTTGTGAAACTGCTCAGGAGTGGACA